CTTCATCCAAAAATTGATAAAGTCCGATACTGCCATGACAATGGCCTTTTTTTAAAACTGTTTTCTCCCTGTGGGCACTAAGATGGCCTCTTTTAGTAAGCCCATTATGGATTCGGCCTTGACCACACTGGGGCGGCCGGATGGTGAGGGACGGGGCCAGACATATCCGGACGGAATACCCCCGAAAAATTCCTGAGGATTTCTAGACCCGTCCAGATTCGATACCAGGTCCCTCAGAGTGGTAAACTGCCATCTTGACCGCTCGGCCATCCGATCGTCACAAAGATGACCTTAGAGAAGCTGATCTATCTGGAAAGTTCGACCTCATCTAACTTACAGCCTAGACTTGACGTCAACTGACTACCATCTATTTTGTGTCTTGCAGAACCATATTACCAATATACAGTTCAATATCCGACACTGGAGACATTCTTCAAACAAAAACAGTTTTTCTATGCTCACGTGATTGAAAGTTTGCAGCAGAGGCTTCGCGTTTCTTTATGCAGCGCTCGAGAAGCGCTTTACAACGAACACACTGAAACTGGTTTCTAATTGGCCAACACTGTTCGTGACGTCATTTCGCTACACTGTCGCTGCATAGAGAAACGCGGCCAGGGTGAGATATGATTGATATTGATGGTGATTACTACCAGGCTGAACTGTAATCATTGTTGAGTTAATTATCAATAAAGATTTTTTTCAAATATGTCTAAATTTCACCTTTACAACACTATTGAATCTTTAATTGCAATAATAGTCAATACATAAACCATATATAATTCAAATAATAATAATAATAATAATAATAATATCTCTCCCGTGGTCACCACCTGGTCGTGGTGGGAGAGCCCAGTAATTTTACTGAACCATAGGGCAATGCAGGCTGGAGCACAAGCTCCTGGTAGGGACACCCATGCCAGTAAGGTCTATGGGGAGAAATGAAGCTAAGAGTGACCACACACCCACATTCTGTGGAGATAATCATTATGGTAGTAACCAGATCTAAGTATGATACCGGCTCGGACGTCGCCCGGGTTAACAAGGTCCGCGTTCGTGGGTTAGGCAGAGGCTCACGTTCGAAAAATAGGCTCCAGTCTCCCTTGGTTACCGGTGGCGAAAGCAGCGCCGGCCCAAGCATGGCTACTGCAATGCCCTCAACAGATGTGAGGAATCAACCTAGCCTTGGTGTTTCTGTGGCAATGCATCCACAGACCACAAAGGCTGGAAAACCACGCCAACGGATGAAATGGACAACAGAAATGAACGAGTTTATCATCCGCACTTACTACACCATCACAAGACTCGAAACAAACATGACAGCATACAGACAACAACTACACCATAGATTCACACAACAATATCCTCACCTCACTGTCACCGAACAAAGGGTTGTTGATCAAAAACGAACAATTATACACAACAACCTTATCCCACAAACAACACTTGAACTTATCAAACAACAGGTTGCTGATCAAATACATCAACAGACAGAAACATTTAACATTAATGAAGATCACGTAACCTGTCAGGATAATCCAGCAACAAGCACTGATTACAGCACACACACAACAAGTACCACTAATGATACTGCAGGCACTTCCCCATCCATCACTGATAACATAGACATAGAATTAGTTAATACACTCTCACTTATATTTCAGGAAACACTCACTAAATATACAGGTACAGATCCCACACAAAGACCACGAATACCGAAAATCAACACGTCAAAGGTAGTAGGAAAAACACTAAATTATGTAAACACTCACTTACTACCAAACTACATTCATTCAATTTCTACACTCTCAGACATTCATACATTAGTTTATGCTGGGGCAGTCACAGTAGTAACACACCATGGACTGAAAATACACTCACAGACAGACACACACAAAACACAATTCTATCACAAGCCTGCCTGGCAGAGAAGAATAGAAACACAAATAAATGACATTAGACAGCAATTAGGCAGGCTGACACAATACACTAAAAACAACATAACACCCAAATTAAAGAAACAACTCAAAAACATTTTCAAGAAAATTAAAACACACACAAAACATGAACATCACAACACACACATTACAGAATACATCGATACACTAAAACAAAAACTCGCAGCCAAAGCACGTAGACTCAAACGATACAAAACATGTACACTACGAAAACAACAAAATAAATTATTCACAAACAATGAAAAACTTTTCTACAGACAAATCAGTACCAAAACAAACACTGATACACAGCACAGTGGCACACCAACAGAAGAAGAACTCACAACTTATTGGTCTTCTCTTTGGTCCAATGCTGTTACACACAATGCTGATGCAGGCTGGATCGAGGAGGAGAACAGAAACTTGCACAACATACCAACTATGCCCTGTGCTGAAATAAACATACACGACATTCGCTACGCTGTTAACAGAACACACAACTGGAAGACACCTGGTGTAGACAACATTCACAATTTCTGGTACAAAAAGTTTACATCACTGCACCAGGAACTAGCTAAACATCTAACACACATCATCATCAATCCACAAGACATGCCAAAATTTCTTACTCAGGGCATCACCTACATGAAACCTAAAAACAACAAAACCACAGACCCCACACAATACAGACCAATTACATGTCTTCCAACACTCTACAAATTATTGACATCCTGTATCACAAACAAAATATACAAACATGTTGAAGAACACGACATTCTTACAGAACAACAAAAAGGTTGCCGTAGAAATCACAGGGGATGCAAAGAACAGTTACTCATAGATTCAGTCATTCTACGGCAAGCACACAAACAACACAGAAACATACACATGGCATATATAGACTACAGAAAAGCATTCGACAGTGTTCCACACAGTTGGCTGCTACATATTCTACACATGTACAAAATACATCCATCACTCATTGCATTCTTCGAAAACACTATGCAGCACTGGAGAACAACACTACATCTCAGGGTTAGTAACACTTCCATACAAACAAACGAAATATTCATTAGGCGAGGAATTTTTCAAGGAGATTCCTTGAGTCCTCTCTGGTTCTGCCTAGCCCTGAATCCATTATCCAACATGTTAAACAACACGCAATACGGCTACAATATCAGACACGAAAAAACAACACAGTTTACACTCTCACATCTCATGTACATGGACGACATAAAACTTTATGCATCCACACAAAAACAACTTCATCAACTCCTACAAATCACACATTCATACACTAAGGACATACAAATGGAGTTTGGCCTAGACAAATGCAAAAAACTTCACATAGAAAAAGGAATCCTGAAGAAAGAAGATTTTGCACTTGGAAATGGAGACGTTATTGAATCCATGGAAGAGGGCGAGTTCTACAAGTACTTAGGATTCCAACAGGCCAAACTAACAGAACATACACAAATAAAGCAACGATTAATTAAAGAATACCAAAGTAGGTTAAACGCTATACTTAGAACACAGTTAAATGCAAAACACACAGTTAAAGCAATAAACACATATGTCATCCCAGTACTCACATACTCTTTTGGAGTTATACATTGGACTCACACAGATCTCGAGCAACTCCAAAGGAAAACAAGAACAACACTTACTAAGCATAAACAACATCATCCTAAATCCGCCACAGAAAGATTAACCCTTCCACGTAAAGAAGGCGGACGTGGCCTGATTGACATAGTTAACCTTCACTACAAACAAATACAGTCACTGCGAGAGTTTTTCTACAAGAAACAAGAAACATCACAGTTACATAAAGCAGTAACTCTAGCAGACTCAAATAACACACCATTAAACTTACACTCACATCATACAGACATGACACAACACATAAAAAGCATAGACACCATCAAGCAATCGTGGGCTCGAAAGGCACTCCATGGCAGGCATCCTTATGACCTGGCCCAGGATTTTGTTGACAAAACTGCGTCAAACAGCTGGTTAGATCGGGGATGCCTCTTTGGGGAGACGGAAGGATTCATGATTGCCATACAGGATCAGGTCATAAATACTAAAAACTACAGAAAACACATACTCAAAGATACAACACTCACAAATGACACATGCAGAAAATGTCACATCATGCCAGAAACTATACAACACATCACTTCTGGTTGCAAGCTCTTGGCACAGACAGATTACTTACATAGACACAATCAAGTAGCAAATATAATACACCAAGAGCTTGCAAAGAAACACAAATTGGCAGACATCCACGAACCATACTACAAGTATATTCCACAGACAGTATTGGAAAACAACACGCACAAAATGTACTACGACAGAGCCATAATCACAGATAAAACAATTTACCACAACAGACCAGACATCACACTCATTGACAAACACAATAAAATCACATACATTATAGACATAGCCATTCCAAACACTCACAATGTACAAAACACATGCACTGAAAAAATTAGCAAGTACACAGAACTCGCCCAGGAAATAAGGCATCTGTGGAGGATGGATAGGGTGCTTATTGTACCTGTTGTTCTCTCCTGTACAGGTGTGATACCACACACACTACACAAAAGCCTGGGAACATTAGAATTGAGTAGAAATACATACATAACACTACAGAAGGCCACTATATTGAATACATGCCACATTGTTAGGAAATTCCTGAATACAGACACTGACACACTTATTTAATTTTAGTTTTGTTTTGGTTGCTATGCCTTGACTCTGGTCCGGCATAGTACACAGCCACCGGTGTGAACCGAGTAAAACTCACTAAACTCAACATAATAATATTTTAATAAATAATTTATAATTAGTAATATTTATTTCATTTTAATACAACAAAATCTTTAATCGTACCAGATTAACAAATATCAATTTACATGTACCAGACGTAACGTCTGGCAACATTGCCAAAACTTATTTGACGGAAAAAGCATAAATTTAAATTTTTAAATAATTTTATTTAATAATTATTATAAATTAATAAAAGGCTTTTAAAATATAATAATAAAAAATTATTATATTTATACATAATTCAATTTTTTATTAATCACGTTTTCAGGGTTAGGAAGGTGTCGTACGTGTAAACAGCTGATGAGAAATAGGAAAAAAACTAGAGAAGAAAGTAAATAATATCTTGAAGAAATGTCAGGGAAGGAAGAAGAAGAAGAAAATAACATTCTCTATGAACTATTAATATATGGAGAATGGCAACAGGAACCGGAAATTGTCGTAAGTGATTCATTTAGAAGCATTACATCATGGACTCGACTTAAAAGCAAATTAAAAACCATATTTGATTTTAGTCTACGAGAAAAATGGAAAATATTTAATGCTTAACATGCATTTTGATCTTTCCTCATCAAACCGTTTTTACTTTTTATTTAAATGAAATAAAAGCTATATGTTTACATATTGGTATGGACACGTGGTTATTTTTAATTGAATTTAAATACTAATTAAAGTATAATAAACCACGTGGTTTGGATGTAATTAAACTGAAAGTTAAACTAATCTTGTGCTCGTACAAATTTTATATTTTGTGTATTCAATTTATTTTTAAATTTATAATTTTATATTTAGAAAACTTTTCTGTTAACTTGGTGCCATTCAATTTTCAATCCAGTTTTAGGAAAAATGATGTTTAATTTCATATTTTTTACAGATAAAACTTATAAATATGTGTACAAACATGTGAATAAACATGTTTGTACACATTTTATCATATTAATGCATTTTATTTTTTTAACTTTGATTAAAAATATTATAAATTAATAAATCAAATTTTTAATAACTTGCTTGTATTACTTGTATTATTTAATAACTTGCTTGCTTGTATTGTATCTAAAATAATAATAGAATATCAAGAGCAATAATATATTGAAACACTTCACGATGCAGTTACATTGCTGTGCAAGAATAGATTACACTCATATTAAATTATTTTTTAAAAATGCTGCTTTTCAATGTAGTATAAATAATCTTAAGATAGACCTAAGTAGAGCAAAATCTGCTTATAATGATTATTATACTTTTTTTTTTTTTTGAGATATTGCCAAGTGTCCATCAAATAAGGTGTCAGTTTATTACTGTGAAGAATTCAGATTCAAACTTGATGCAGACTTTATACAGGATGTTCAAAAAGTTACTGTGCTGTGGAAACTAAGTAAAGTTTTAATAAAAGTGAAGTTTTAGGTACAATATTGTAGTGTCTCCTATAGCAATTGCTGGAAACGTTCCCCAGAGGCCCCAAAATCTGATGAGGAATAAGGTCTAGCAGACCTAGCAGACCAGATTCCATGGAATATTATGCAGTCAGCAAAGAAGTCTTCCAAAAACCAGAACATCTGTGAGCAAGTAGTAATGCCATCTATAAGAAAGTGGAAATGGCATACAATGTACGTTATGTATACAATGCTGTATATAACTTTAATGTCATTACAAATTTCTTGCTGCACAGTAACCTTTCAGACACATGTAATTTATCATGGGTATTACAAATTTAGAGAAATAGCTTGGATGAATCTCTTTCTGCTCAGAGAGCACTAAGTTTGGGGCATATATCATTTTTCATCTTTATTCATACTGATTAGGTAGGCTTCCACCATAGATCAGGCTCATTCACAATAGCTGTAATTATAGCCAAATATAAAGTCTAAATATGGCTCAATCACTTAGTCTTATTTGTGATATTTGATAAAAATAAAAATATGTTTTTAATGAATAATTTCAATTTTTGATAAATTTTAGGCTTTATTCATTAAATTATATGATTGAAAAATATTTTCAACAATAATAAATAATTTTATTTCAGTGGTTTGCATTTAAATATCAAAAGTAATGCAATTTTCCTTGCTTTTTTTTTAGACTAAACAAGATAAACAAGATGAAAGAAAAAACATAGGTGAGGATTCTATAAGATTTGAAAATTACTTAGTGTAAAATTATTACATAAATTTTGTCAGAAATTGGTTGCTATATGTCATCTTTCTTCCTGAATATGTTTTATCTGTTTTTGCCTTAAAATAATATCCAGTTGAAATTTGAAATTTTTGTTAAAGCATTTTTTTTTTTTCCTTTAATGAAAACTAAATTACAGTTTGAATTTGTATATAAAATTATTTATCTTACTGCAGTGGTCAAGACAATTAGGGGAGAAAGAAAGTCATTTAATGTGAATGATTCTCAATGTTATTGTTATGTAAGATACAGTAAAATCATGTGCATTGTCACTGGTGGGTCTAATGGGTCTGCAGACTCTATTTTTTCTGCTGTGTAGGGTAAATCATAAAGCTGGACTTGGATTGATGTTTATACTTGTTTAATGATAAAAATTATGATATTTTTAAGGTTAAATTTTGTTTTTATTGTATAAAATGTATAATAATGCAATGAATGCTGGGAATCCAAGCCCAGGTTCTCAATATATATGTATATATTTAAGTTTTTACAATATTATTTAATTTGTTAAGATATATTATTTAATTCTATTGTTAATAATGTATTAATAAGATATTTTCAAGTGTATTTGATGAAGATTAAATTTTTAATGAATTTTTAAAATATGTTGCTTCATACCTCATTGACATGTATTATGATGACTTGCCTAGTCCTGAACTTTTTGCAGGCAAGGTATTTTGATGGACGAAGTGGATTAGTAAAAACAGACAAGGAGTTACCATGCACATTGGCTAAATCAGTAAAAACATGTGATCCAGAATTTACAAAGATTTTTGTGTTGCTGAAACTTTGTGCTACAATCTTCACAATATCATGTGAATTCAAAAGGTTAGCCAGCATGTTGAGAAGACTGAGCAACTACATGAGAGTTACAATGAATGAACATCACTTTACATGACTGACCCTAATTCACGTCATTATGATTTTCATATCAACATTGATAAAGTTGTAAATATATTTGTGACATTGCATCCAAGCAGGATGCAGTTAGATGGGTTGTAGGCAACTGTAAGTTTTCTTGAAGATATGAAGTGTTAAAGTACTCACAGACACCTTCCATATTAGTTCCATCAGATAGATTTAATGTAAAAAGCAATCAAACAAATGTTCACAATCACTTTCAGAGATCATCAGGTTAAGACAATTATGGAATAGTATATTAACCTGACAAAGATCTCTGAAAGTGATCAAAAATGTTTGTTTGGTTGTTTTTTACATTAAATCTATCTGCTGGACCCAATATGGAAGATATTTGTGAATATTTATATCCTTTTCCAGCTTCAGAGGTGGTTTTTCTTTTTAATGAAATCTTATTTTGTAATATACATATGTGTTGTTTCTTATTCTGATGACATGTTTGAAAATATACAGTAATATGTGAAAAAAATATACATTTTAACTGAATAGTTGTCCTATTTTCATTTACTGCACTTGTTGTAATATACTGATCAATGTACTGTATGTCTGCAAAACCAGAACAAATGACTTTATTAGAGTATTGTGTTGACTTTATTAAGGTTTATGATCTGTATTAATAGCAAAACTATTGCACATGTGTAGCATGGAATCAATGAGATTGCTTTGCTGATAAGGTGTTGAGGAATTTTTTGGCATTCCTCAAGAGCAGTCACATGCTCCCCTGATTTTTTTAGACCAGTGTATTATACCCTTTAAAATTTTTAAAATTTATTAATGAAATAAATCCTGAAGCAGCAAATGATCAAAATAAAACTCAAAAGTGTTGTCTGATTTAAAATTTCATGTTGAAAATTAGATGATTACTGTATAGACAGAAGTTTGATAGAGTATTTCATAAAGAGTACACAAAACTTTCTATAGAAGTAAATTATCTCTTTAATATTTTGTTGAATATCTTGAAAAGTAGTTAAAATCACTAGAATTTTCATATTTTATTTGGCTACTTAGAAAAAAATTAAGCATTTTTATTTAGTGTTTATTTATCCAACATGTAATTAATAAAGATGAGTAAAAATGAATAATTTGAAACTTTTTTGATTAAGTAAACAAGGTAAAAAACTTATGAAAGGTCATATCAATGATGAATAGTTTAGTGATAAATTAGCACATAAAAAAATATTTTGAAAATTTGAACATTAATTTTTCCAATTATGACAGAAGTTAAACTAGGAGAACAAATCTTGTTCTCCTAGTTTAACTTCTGTCATAGTTTGGCATGACAAGCTAGAAAAACAAAATACAGTAGTCTCAAAAACTCGGCCTAATGTGGACCGAAGGGTGGCCGAGTTTGTGAAAATGCCAGGTTATCGGGAATGGGGTTAAAAAAAAATAAGTATGAGTGTTTCCTCAGAAAATACTGTACTGTACTNAAAGGTCATATCAATGATGAATAGTTTAGTGATAAATTAGCACATAAAAAAATATTTTGAAAATTCTAAAAATATTCAGAATTTTAAAATAATTTTAACTTGTGATTGCACTTAATAATGCAAATCTATAGCAAATTTTCTCATTAGTAATAATAAGTAAAACTCAGATAGTCCAAACTACAATTTATCCAAATTATAAACTTTGAATTGAAGATTACAAAACACACAATATCAATGCATCATCATGATGAAATGCACTCCCTAATACTTTTAGATTATAATGTTCATCAATAGGGGAAACTAATCTGAAAGTAATAGAGAGTATCAAGTTTATTACAGCTTATTGATATGTGTATTTATAATATCCAATAAAATAGTTCAAAGTTCAAAATTTAAACAGCCAATACACAAAGAAAAAAGAAAAATTAACCATTGAATTTTGTCTTTGTTATATAATTTAAGGCAAGGCACATAAAATGTTTTATGTATTTGTTATGAACATCATTCATTCACTTCTGTAAGAATTAAATCCATAGAGAAGTACAAATAAATAATGAAGGATAATTTGAGATACATAAACCAATACCTAGCAAGGCCATTTTTGGGACGAGACTATGTCTTGGAGACTCAGGGCTTGACTGTGCATCATTTTCTAAGGAAAAGAGAAAAATGAGCACTAACCAATGAGAAAAAGTCAACAACAGTACTTGAGGACCTGGTGTAGATTATGGCAGGCTTCATTGCTGTTGTGATTATGATGGGTTGCGTTGTCACAGGCCTGTTCTTGGCTACGGTAAGCGGAAAGATATTTGTACCCGAATTGTCCTGATGTTGCTCTTGTCATTTTGTAGGATATTGAAATGATGAGAGCAAGAGAATACATGTGTAATGTGTGTCAAACATTTGTCAAAATTTGATTTTGCAATGTTCACATTTCGAAATTCCCAACGAGCAATGCATGTGCAAATCTCACACTAGCACCTGTTTGTAGAAACAATGTCGTCATTTTGTATTTTATTTTGACTTGGTTCTCAGACTCTGACTACCTGCAAGTCCGGTTTTTTTTATGTGTGCATGATTTGGGCACTAAATACTCTGTGCCAAATTGCAACATCTGACATGTATTCCTCCATACCTCTAAGGTGTCCAGCCATTGACAGCAGCACAGTTTTATAGATAAGACATAATCTCATCAATAAAAAAAAATTAAAATATAAGATATTGTAAATAATAATTTTATATGGACTTTATAGCCTGTTTTAATTTGTCTCTTTTCTGTCCTCTTTTATTCTTATGTTCTCATTTTTGAAAGAAAATATCAAAATGTTTTTGTTTTTTGATGATGGAAATATGGTAACTTAGTTTAAAATAATGAAGAGTTAATGATTTTGTTTCTCTTAAATTAGTTTGGAATTGGTTTGGTTCATTTGTTCCACCATGCAATTCAAAACCATTTATACAAAGGTTAATAAATCAGCAAATGATATGGCAGTTTGCAGTTGGAGGGTAAACAATTTTATATATATATCTATGTTTATTATACCTAAATTAAATATTGAGTAATTAATATAATATTTATTTATAGAAATGGCCAAGTAATTGCTGTTTTACAAGATCAAAGTATTGAAATAAGGCAAGAATTTTTTAATATTACAATAAAATATAGTTGAAATTTAAATATTTCTGTTAAAATATGATTTAAAAAAAGCCAATATTTATATTTTCATTTTTATTTAGTTTTATAAAATTCATAATGTTAGGTATTAAAACATTACTATATAAAATAGTCAATCTACACAACTGTTGTTAAAAAATTATTCATAAGTTAGTGTATCTAGTTAATAAATAATGAAATTCATTCATCAATAAGTTATTGTTTAATAACAGACAGAAACAACTCCAGTTATTAAGAAATACTTTAATGAAATAAATAAATGCTCTTTTAGACTTTAATGACTCTCTTACCATTTACAGTTTTGGAGTTGAATTCAATATTGCCACCATTAAGATGGCAGTTGTGTGTTTAACACACACCAATCTGTTTCCCCCTTGGTCTAATGTGTTCCTGACAAGAGCAAATTAACTTTGGGTACATTCTATATTTAGTAGCAGGGGTTTTAACTGACTTTCTTTCCCATTCCATACTTTATTAATATCAAAAAGCAATAATTGAATTTTAAAAATTCAGATGTTATTTTCAAATAGATTATAAAATTTTTATATTAAAGTCTATTGACATGTGTAAACATTTAATATTATTTTGTAAGTAATATGTTAATGGCATTTATAAAATTAAGTAATTTTATTTAATTTATTTTATTTTCAGATCTTCAAGAGATGATTATCATTCAGTGATTGGAAGGTGTCAAAGTAAGATTATTAAAATTTATTTTAATGATTTTATAGCTGTATAAAATATTAAATATATTTTAAATATTTAAACACTAGTTCCAAAAGATCCCTTTCCTCAGTGGAGAAAAATTGTATGGTCATCAGATTGTAGCATGTTAGCTGTGAGCTTTAGTAATGGCAGTATTGAATTTTTTGATCTTTTAGGAAGCAATCTCTTTAGCATTCATCAGGTTTGGCAAATTAAAAATTTTATTATTTTTTAATACTGTAAGGTCTCGTTTTATGCGGTGGATACGTTCTACAGAAAAGCGCATATAAAAAATTCGCATAAAAAAAGACTTTACTTGCCTTGAAAAAGTAGGGATACGTTCCGTAATTTTCTAAAATCGCATAAAACCAAAACAACGAGTTAAAATTAACTTAAAACCGCATAAAAAAGTTTGCAGAAATTAAAAGAAATAGGCTGCTTAATAAATTACTTCGAATGTCTGAAAGAAATTCATATAAAATTTAATTTCAAAACAATTACAGTTTATACCTTTCAATGCGAAACTCAGAATGATGTAATAGCGACTTGTCGATGGTATCATGTACAAGGGGAATCCCCGAATTGCAAAAGCTCACTCTAAAAACAAATCACTGACATCTGGATGTGAAGAGTTAATTAAAACCCCTTTAGTTCCTCGCCCGAGTTAACTCGGGCAGGTTACATAGCGTTACATAAAACACGGTCCTTAAGGCCATTTTGGAATTTTTTTTTTGAATTTTTGGAATGTTTTTTAAGTCTCCAAATTTTTTAAAAATATTTAAAAATATACGGCCAGCTAGTGTTCACCCTACTTTAAACCCTTGTCCTCCCGCGACGTCTATGAGAATGCCCCGGGAAATCCAACTCCAGCTGTGTTCAAGGTCATCCAGATGTGTAAACAATGACTCATCGGTGTTAAATTTCACAGAAGGGCGAGACAAAGGAAGTTAAACTTTGAAGCTTTTTCTTCAAAATTAACGCATTTCTTTCGTTTTTTTCAGTTTTAAGTATTTTTTATGTTTAATTACATTTATATCAAAAATTGCTAGGAACTAAAGCGATTAAGGTAGATCTAGCTGTCGTTTACATCCATAAACGTTATATGTCAGTGGAACAAATGGAGTGAGCTTTGAGCGTTCCACGATTTTTGGAGACTGTCTATACGCGGGCTTCCTAAACAAGCCTATATGTATGTTTGTCCAAGAAATTTTTGGATGAATTACAAACCACACAACTTCAAAATCGCATAAAAATAATCCACATAAAAAGAGACCTTACAGTATTTATTTATGTTATATATAATAAAATTATCTATTGTATTTATAATTATAAATATAAAATAATATTATTTAAGAAATTTTTATTAATTATACAAAGTTTCTAAATAACATAATTCAAATAATCTATTTTAGGCCAAAGCAAAAGTAACTTCTAATAATGGTTGCCAAGACTCAAGTAGAGCAATTGCTGCAATGATTTTTACTGAAGCAAGAATTCAAAGCACTCAATGGCAAGCAGTATTCAATTTTTATTTAAGACTATAGTGGAAGTTTGTTAATCTGGCACCCAATAATTCAGAATATTCAATGCCTGGATGGCCAAGATAGTTAAATTGTTAGCTTACCATTCTGGTTTATCTGGGATCAAATTTGAGAGATTAATTTCTCTGGAATTTTCCATAGATGGTCTTGACCTACAATGAGATATGAAAAAAGTTCCTATTAGTGATTACAGGGTAGAAAGAGTAAAATGGAAAAAAAAAATCTAGAATGTGCAGTAATTCAGCACTTTCTAAAAGCAGCTTATAATCCAGAAATGTTTGATAACTCTAGCCTTCTAGTATTCTGCAAACCAGCATTTGTTTGCAACTTGGTGCACTAAAGATTTACAGCAGGGGTGGCCAACACGAGGCCCGCGGGTCGCATGCGGCCCGCCTGGAGTCATGTTGCGGCCCGTGGAGTTAGGTCGAATGAACGTAAATGTTAACTTTATTGTACATATCACCAAAAGAACATTACGTCATGAGTTATTCCTATCATGTACTTTTAAATTATAGCTAACAGAAATTTGAAATATCTCTCATTTTGGAAAAATTCATAGATTTTTAGCTATTTCAAATATCCCGCTATTTGACACTTAAGGTTACTTAGTTTTTTGTCCGACGCTAGGTGTTGATAAAATTTAATATGAGACCTCAGCTATATATGTTCTGTGGTCTTCGGCGTTTTCAGGAAGCTCACAATGCTATCGAGCTCATACTCATAACTACTTTCAGTCCAGCTTGACAAAGTTCCGTGTTATTCTGTAGTTTCGTTTTTTATCGCCAATGCATCTGGAGAGATTTTGCAATCGACGTTAAAATACATATTTAGCATATTTTATAATTACAGTTCAAACNCAATTGGGGACTGGGGTTGTTCGGAAAATCGATATTTCGGATAACCGATTGTATACGAAAAAATTTATTAATTTATCCTATGTTGAAATTTTTCTCCATTGCGTGTTGCTTCGCGTTGAATTTTTGTCGATGTTAAGCCTAACGAAGACTATTGTATCGTTCAAAATTATTTTTTTATTTTGTACAAACAAAATAAATATATTGAAAAATATAAAAACAATAAAAAAGTATACTTCAGAAGTTAATTTAGTATCAAAAACGTAAAATATTTGAGTAGCCAAAGATTGCAGCACCACAGCACTGGCAAAATTTAAATTTGCCGACTGGAATTCTTTCGGATAATTGACCCTCTACTGTATTTATAAAATAAATTTTGTATCATTTGTTTTATGAAATTTTTATTATTGTTGTTTTCAGTGATATAATGTATTGTATTTTATTTAAAGAGTATTTTCAGAGTTTGGTGTATTTAGATAATTTATATTTACAATGTTGTTCTCTAATCTGTAAATCATTTAAATTATAATTATTTTCAATTAATTTACAACATTTTTTAACATAGGTCATCAGAATTTCTATTTGTTACTTATAAAGGAGTATTATATAGTTATTTTGTTAGGTAAATATATATGCATTTATTTTTTCATATTATAAATATTACTTATAAAATATAATTTAATATGTAACTAAGTATTTTCTTTTTTTATAGTCCTACTGAAGGATTTCAAGAAAATCATACTTTTTCTTTTGCTAAGCATTATCCAGATGGTATTACAAATATTGCATATCATCCTGCTCATCATTTATTGTTTGTCAGTGGTATTCCCCAAAATATTTATGGGTCTTTGGAAACTTCTAAAGCTCTTCATATGGGTATAACTGCTTGGAGGTTTTTATCTGATTATCCTCATTATAAACTTGTAACATCTCTAGAAGATGAACTTGTAAGTATAAAATTAAGATATTAAGTAGTAAGTCTCTATGAATGAATAAAAACTTTACACAAAAAATAATGCTGAATTGTCATATTATTTGTATATGTTTATATGTATTAGAAAGTTTATGCTTAAGGATGAATTGAAATTTAAATCTGAAGAATAAAGTTCTTATATGTATGAAAAAATAAACAATTTGACNGATTTAAAAAAAGCCAATATTTATATTTTCATTTTTATTTAGTTTTATAAAATTCATAATGTTAGGTATTAAAACATTACTATATAAAATAGTCAATCTACACAACTGTTGTTAAAAAATTATTCATAAGTTAGTGTATCTAGTTAATAAATAATGAAATTCATTCATCAATAAGTTATTGTTTAATAACAGACAGAAACAACTCCAGTTATTAAGAAATACTTTAATGAAATAAATAAATGCTCTTTTAGACTTTAATGACTCTCTTACCATTTACAGTTTTGGAGTTGAATTCAATATTGCCACCATTAAGATGGCAGTTGTGTGTTTAACACACACCAATCTGTTTCCCCCTTGGTCTAATGTGTTCCTGACAAGAGCAAATTAACTTTGGGTACATTCTATATTTAGTAGCAGGGGTTTTAACTGACTTTCTTTCCCATTCCATACTTTATTAATATCAAAAAGCAATAATTGAATTTTAAAAATTCAGATGTTATTTTCAAATAGATTATAAAATTTTTATATTAAAGTCTATTGACATGTGTAAACATTTAATATTATTTTGTAAGTAATATGTTAATGGCATTTATAAAATTAAGTAATTTTATTTAATTTATTTTATTTTCAGATCTTCAAGAGATGATTATCATTCAGTGATTGGAAGGTGTCAAAGTAAGATTATTAAAATTTATTTTAATGATTTTATAGCTGTATAAAATATTAAATATATTTTAAATATTTAAACACTAGTTCCAAAAGATCCCTTTCCTCAGTGGAGAAAAATTGTATGGTCATCAGATTGTAGCATGTTAGCTGTGAGCTTTAGTAATGGCAGTATTGAATTTTTTGATCTTTTAGGAAGCAATCTCTTTAGCATTCATCAGGTTTGGCAAATTAAAAATTTTATTATTTTTTAATACTGTAAGGTCTCGTTTTATGCGGTGGATACGTTCTACAGAAAAGCGCATATAAAAAATTCGCATAAAAAAAGACTTTACTTGCCTTGAAAAAGTAGGGATACGTTCCGTAATTTTCTAAAATCGCATAAAACCAAAACAACGAGTTAAAATTAACTTAAAACCGCATAAAAAAGTTTGCAGAAATTAAAAGAAATAGGCTGCTTAATAAATTACTTCGAATGTCTGAAAGAAATTCATATAAAAGCTTAAAATAAACTTGTATTCAAACTTAATTCAGTT